GGGCAAAACGAAACTCTAGTCATAATAAGCAACAGGCTGCTGGTTTGCTGTGACTTGATGACATCACTCAGGGAGCTCCAACTTTGGGAATAGTCTTGCAACCTTGTAAATTGAGATCCTTTTGTTTCTGACAATACCCTTGGGATATGGAGGTATAAAACAATTTCAGCAGTGTTATTGTTATGTGCTGTCGTGTTGCCTCCAGCTTATGGCAACCCTATGAATGAGCTATATCCAGAATGTCCCGTCCTCAACAGCCTTGTTCAGATCTTGCAAATTCAAGCCTGTGGATTCCAACAGTGTAAGCAATTACTTACCTTCATTCTAAACTACCCCATGAATCTAGGAGGTGGTTCAGGTATGCAGTGCTCTTAAATCTCCTGAAATGGTTAGAACATGTACGGTAGCTCCTCTAACATGCACAATACTCTTAGAACTGCCAATATAGAAGGGACCCTATAGATCATCAAGTCCAGTCTCTGTCAAGGAGGCACTGTGGGGAATCGAACCACCAACCTTTACCGAAAAAACTGAACTATCTAGCTGTTCTAGTTCTTGTGTAAACAAATATTCCATTATAAATTATGAACAGGACATTGCTATACACATCTAAAGTGGACCCTCGACTTACAGACGGCTCGACTTACAGACTTTTCGAGTTACAAACTTCTCTGGCCGCAAAATTTAGGTTCGACTTGCAGCCAGAGAATCGACCTACAGACCAGAAAAAAGCCAAAATGGAACAAAAATGGCCGGTTACGGCATTAATCAGTTTTCAATGCATTGTAGGTCAATGGAGACTTGACCTACAGACTCTTCAACCTGCAGCCACCGTTCCAATACGGATTAATTCCATAAGTAGAGGGTCCACTGTATTCAAATATAAGCTGTGTTGATATCGATAGATTTTACTCTTGAGTAACTGGGTTATAAGACCGAAAATAAGACCTAACCTGAAAATAAGCCCTAGTATGACTTTTCAGGATGCTCATAATATAAGCCCTACCCCCAAATAAGCTCCAGTTAAGTGAAACCCCGCCCTCCACCATTGTGCAGCATTGTGCAGGAACCAGAAGATGACATGATTGTAAAATAAAACATCCCCTGAAAATAAGCGCTAATGCATTTTTGGAGCAAAAATTAATATAAGACCCTGTCTTATTTTGGGGGAAACACAGTAATTCATGTTTCCCCTTTCTCAGCACTGTCCCAAATCTGGTGATGGTTCTGGACTAGCACCCACTTGTTCATCTTGTGGATGCTGTATTGCAGAGAATTCTGGACTAGCACCCACTTGTTCATCTTCTGGATGCTGTATTGCAGAGAAAGGAGTGTTGTATTTACAGTGAAGATCCGTGTTTATAAAACAGGAAGAGTAAATTATGTACTTATTGCAGCAGGATTCAGTATTGTGGTGGTCCTGTGTTTTGAAGATAATGTAGTTTCACAGCTTTGAACTAGATTTAGCAGCTTTTTTAACGTGCTACATCATTCTTTCGTGTGTTTGTGACAACGTGGGCTAAGGATGATTTGATCAAATGTAAGTGACTCTCACTGCATTTGCTTTTTGATGTTCTTCATCCCTTCCCGCAACCTGTTTGCTTGGACACTTGTCTTCACAACCATTTTTTTTCTAATTGTTACTCTATCACACTCTGAATTAAATGCACCCCATCAAGCTAATGCAACAAGTAGCTTTGTGTTCCCCTCCCCCTTTCATCAGTGCATCCCTACTTGAAGAGATAAAGAGGCAGCAAACTGAACTGTGGTATCTAAGGGAAATAAATTGTTCAAAGGCTAACGGGTGAAAATCTATTTTGCTGAAGTGGGAAGCACTTACAGCCCAAGCTCTGTGGGTGTAGCAGGTGAAAAATACTCATGGGAGTGAGGCTATAGTTTTTCTTCTAGGATACTTGTGGAAGGTTGCTTTTTCAGCAGTGGGGAGATTTCTGGTGTTTGGACACCCTGCCTGAAATCCTGTTGTTAAGTAAAGAGCCTTTGCTGTGATTCTCAGGGTTGCACATGTGCACTGGCTTCATGCATGCTTATGTGTGAACCACTGAGAATTGCAGTGGGAGCTCTTTATTTACCTGTGAGGAACGGACTGAAACTTATGATTTTGCTTACATTAATCTTGATGCTGGGCATGTCCAGACTGCACTGATATCTATTTGATTACTGCTGAACAGATAAAATTGAATCAGTACGGACAGTGACAAAAGAAACGTCATTATGTATAGCCCTACCTTTGCTGATAGGCTGGTTGTTCATATATGTTTCATTTGAAACAACCTTGAAAGTTATGTCTTGGTTGCTTAACTTGCATATGTGACATCTCAGCACATGGATTTTTGGAGTTGTTGTATTACATACATATCCCACAATGGACATGGTTCTTTCCTCCTTTTGTTGACCTTGCCAGTCCTGTTCCTTTAATTTGGTTGTCCTGTTGCTGGTGCTAATGATTCTTCAAGGCAGATTTAATAAAGCTTAGGCAGGGGTAGTTTGATTTATGACCTGACATACGGGTGATGACCTCATTACTGCTTGGAATGCAGAGAGAATGGGCCCACTTGTTTATAAAAGTATAAAATTTAATAGAAACATCACAGACAGCAAGATAGTTGCTGCAGTCCAAGAATTTCATATTGTGGCATGTGTGTAATGCATAACCTCCTGAGTGCAATGACCTCCATGTGCCCCTCAATCAAGAACAAGAGTACTGTATGTTGTTTACTATTTTTAAATAATACTATAGGTATCAGTTATATCACACATGTTTGCATATTTGTGGGGCAGATACAGATGTATTAAACATTTATTTCACATTTGGCATAATGGAGACCTCAGAATGTTTGCATTTCAAATTTGCTCTATGTGTCTGGCTAGCTTGTACTAAGTAACCTGGTACTTAAAACAGCCTGTAGACATTATTTATTTTTCAGATTTGTTTTTCAGCAATATAACCTATCTTTTTAACATAAGAAATTCAAAATGCCATGTGCAACCCAGAGCAAAGCTTTGATGCATCTACAAGGTGAAGCAGAAGTTCTTAAGACCTTTTTTTTTAAATAGCACAGACAGATTACCATGATTGTTTGTTCCTCGGCTGACCACTCTGGTTTCTTGAGTTATTGCTCTGGAAGAGGAGGCTTTGTTTGAAGGGATTCAGCATGGAGGGGTGCATAACTCCTGCCTGAGCACATATTTTGCATGCAGAAGGACCTAGGTTCAATCCCTGTCATCTTGTTAATAGCTCTCCACAGTCTTTGCGATCTTTTATGAGTCATGCTAGACAAATATGGGCTAGAAAAACTGATAAGGCAGCCTCCCATTTGGCATTTAGAATCCTGCTCCTGTGCCTGGATGCAGCTGTACTTTGTACTCCAGCCAAAAGAACAAACATGTGACTTGAAAGAAGCAAGAAGGACTGATGGGTTTCCATTGTACATAATCCATTATCCCTGTGACATTTGTGTAGACTAAAGACTTACAGTTCAGGGGCCATTTCCAATGAAATCACTTAGACTTTGTCTTTAGCCTGTGTATTGGGTAAGCTGTGTTAGAGTGTAGAAGAAGTGTTTTGTTTTCCTCACTGCTTGTTGTGTTAAGGACTTGAGTATTTTTCCCCTCTAAATTTATTGTAATGCTGAACTACACCTGGTTCACGAACAGTGCAAGGTTCACCGGCACCCGTGTTGTTAGAAATTTGTTGTTGTGTGCCATAAAATCATTTCAGACTTATGGCAACCCTACAAATGAGTGATCTCCAAAATGACCTTTTCCTCAACTGTTAGAAATAAGAGTGGGCATATAGGTCGTATGGAACCCTTTCTCAACAGCTGTTTGTTTTGTTACTGGAAGGGCTGTTTCCCAAGTGTGCACAGATCTGTATGGTGTAAAGATTTTCTTCTGTTCTTCTGGCTCTTCAGAAGCTGATTTCCCCATTTGTGAGTGATTCGTTGCTTGACTCTACTATCTTATGATGTGTGACTATACTGTATGGTATTTTGATATGTTTTGATTTTAAAGATGTATTTTACATAAGAAAATGTGTCTGTGATGTCATAGTTTTAAACGGTCCTTGTCAATTTTTTAGGTCAATGAAACAAAACAATATAAAGGAACAATATAAAGGATAGTTTATTGAAAGCATCCTTTTAACTAGATGTTTGGGGACAAAACTGCCCATTCTTTGCTTATGTTCACTGATAATATGGGCCAGAATGGTGTGGTTTCAGGATAATTAACTGGAAGTGTAAGAATGCAGACATCATTGTCCTATGTTTTCTTTGACAAAAGATAAGCCTAGCTTTATTTGTGTTATACTCACAAGGGCTCTCCCTTCTGTTAGGCAGTAGAGGCCTGAAGTGATATCAGATGCCTCCTTGGCCATTACCCCTCAGCATCTTTTCCATCTTTTGGAGGACAGAGCTGTATGCGTGTCTCTCCCATAGCTTGTCCCATTGTACTTTCTGAACTAGCCACCTTTGGGTGTGGTGAAGGCCACCAGTCCTTCATCTGTGTAGGAGTCAAATTCACTTGCCATATCTAGCCCTGTTTGGTTCTGTACAAAGAAGAGGAGGGAAGGGCAGGATGCTGTACTGTACATGACTTAAAGTTGCAAAATACTTCGGGCCAGCTGTTAACCTTTCTTAAAGAAGAGGAGGGAAGGGCAGGATGCTGTATATGGCCTAAAGTTGCAAAATACTTTGGGCCAGCTGTTAACCTTTCTTCTTTTCTCCCTTGCTCCTTTTCATTAAACATGAGGCTGATGTGAGAGCAAATGATAGCACTGCCAGCTGCGCTGGGAAGTTGGAGAATCTTTAAACCTGCATTCGCTTTATACCTTTATCTGCTGTGCTATCTTTTCTCCACTGCAGGTCAGAAAGGGCAAGATGTTAACTGTTTCGACTTTTGCATCTTGGAATGTTCTTAGTAGTTTGTACATCTGTGGTATTCAAAACTTCCTTATGAAAATGCTTGTTTTCCCTCCTTAGATTTTGGAGCCAAGTGCTGAAAGAGAAAAATGAGAAGATTTTTGAGATCTGGACATGACCCAATAAGAGAGAGGCTCAAGCGTGACCTTTTCCAATTCAACAAGGTATGTTGCAGGCCTTGAATGTGCCTAAGAGGAAACAAATATGAAACTTGTGCAGAGCAGCCTGTTCAGACAGGCTGAAAGATGAACTGAGTGAGATGGCAGAAAAATTGCACTCACCACGGGCAATCTTGCTCAGCTGTTGGGTTTATCAAAGACTACAAAACTAATAAAATATTGGTAAACACACACTGGGCTTACCCAACTCCTGACACAATGTGCTTTTTATGCATGCGTGCATCTTAGACTAGCAGATTGTTTCCTGTGTACCAGATGGGCATTCAGATCTCATAAACCTTGTTTATTTTATTTTTAAGACAGAGAGTCTTTAGCTCTTATCTGGCAGTATTTTTTGTTTAAGAAAGCACATGTGGCCTACTTTAGTTTGGTTACAGTGTTGCTATTAAATGAACATGTCAGTTTACAACACACAGGCTTCCCTGCCCTTTTCTATATTTGGATGTATGTGGTCTGTGTTCAATTCTAGAATATGCTTTTCAAAGAAGAAAACAATCTGTGTGCTGCTAATTACTGCAGAAAGAACTGAAAAGGTGTTGTGCTGTCTCTTTCCTTTGGCAGTGGTGCATATGCTGTGAAATGATACAGAGACTATAATGACTGCAAATTGACTTCTGTTACTTAAAGGTTTGCTGATGAACATACTAAGGGCCAATTGGAAGCAGTAAGACAAAGATGGGAAATATATGGTGCACATGTGCTGCACATAGTTAATCTTTTTTGAAAAATAAGTGTACCAATTGTACTTGCTATATCTTGGCAATCATAGATAGGAGGAAATATGTGGGTTAATGAGTGATAGTGAAAAGAATTAAGGCAGGGCAAATAGGGAAACACAGCTATGTTCAGTAACAGCCAGATTTAGCTGGAACTTTAATCCTACTCTGGGCTATAATTGATTTAGAGCAAAGTGAATGCATGTATCTTGAGGATTCTTCACGTGGCCTGATCAATCTGTCTGGTTCGTTTTCTTCCAGACATTCTATTTGGTCACAAGCTGTTGTACTGAAAAGTTGTGGTGTTTTTACAAAAGCTTTTGAAACGCGCAGTTGAAGCTTTCTTTTCATATTCAAAATTTTCCCGCTTTGGAAATAACAACTTGAAAACAATTCTGCATTAGAATCCTTTTGTCAGAGTTTGGTTATGATCATTTATAAAGGCTCAAAGAACTGCAAGCAAAACAGCACTCCCAGAGAACTCAACAAACTTTCGCTTTTAGGAAATCCCATGCTGTTCATGAAGGCCAGAATCAGAAGGCCTGAAGGTGCAGTGTTGGTATCGGAAGCTCAAGTTGCTTTAACCCGACATAGCTTTTCACACTTCAGTTTCATTTGCTAAAGCAAGAACCAGGAGTGTGAAAAGCAGTTTGGTTTGGAGTGTGTGCATATCTGACTCCTCCTCCTCCTTTGTGTGTTTGTGTATGTATGTATTGTACAATTCCTTAACCAAAAATCTGTTAAAATTTTTTCACATGTCCTGTTTCTGGCCCTCTTTTCCACTTCCACCCAGAGTGCAGCAACTTTAGCCATACTGTGCACATTCTTTAAAGAAACAACATATGGTGGGCAGAACAGTTTCCCTTTCTTTCAAAGGGCAGAGCTAGGTGTTTGCTGCATGTGCACAACTATACACACATCCCAGTACAGTGAGAAAGTTTTCACTGTAAATGTAAGGTAAAGGTAAATGTTCCCCTTGACAATTTTTGTCCAGTTGTGTTTGACTCTACGGGGCGGTGCTCATCCCCGTTTCCAAGCCCTAGAGCCAGCGTTTTGTCCGAAGACAATCTTTCCGTGGTCACATGGCCAGAGCGACTTAGACACAGAGCGCTGTTACCTTCCCACCGAGGTGGTCCCTATTGATCTACTGGCATTTGCATGCTTTCGAACTGCTAGGTTGGTGGGAGCTGGGACGAGCGATGGGCGCTCACTCCGTCGCGAGGATTCAAACTTACAGCTGAAGATCTACAGATCTTACAGCACAGAGGCTTCTGCGGTTTAACCTGCAGCGCCACCATGTCCCTTGTAAATGTGAGTACAAAAGGAAAAGAGGGAGCTGTTGGTAATGTCATTAGCTTGAAACAGACATTCTGGAGGGCCTTTTTCCAAGGTAAAGTTAAGTGCATTGCCTTGCTAGAATGCTTTGGTGAAGTTAATGATTTACTCAGCGCCCTATCATGTACAGAACTGGTACCAGCCCACCTCTTCTGAATTAACTGTTTTCCACGAAGGAAGACACTGTCCTTCCATGTTGTTGCCCAACTGGAATGTGTGCATTTCCCTGCTGCGGCATCCTTTTAGGTGGCACAAAGCAAAGTCCCACTCCCTAGACTAACTGTCAAATGGAAAATTTGATATTTAAAGGCATATGAAATCTTGTATTCAAATTTCCTGTGTCTTGGTATTCAGGCTGTGGAAAAGCCCAATAACTACTCAGAGTTAGGTGTTGAGTCCTATAGCTGTTTACTTCAAGCATACATAATGTATTGGAATGTTACTTTCTTAGGAACTTAAACTTTTTAAACCATAAGAAAGCAACTCCTTAGATTTCCAACAGCTATTGAGTTTTTTGTGTTGACTGCATATGAGTTGGAAATAAAGGTAATTTGTGGACTGAGCACTGGGGAGGGGGAGAATGCATTCACCCCAAATTTCAGGGCAGCAACCTTCCCAGGCTCTCCACACCATAGTGTGTCTGTACTTGGAAACCTTTATACTTATACCCTTCCCCCTTTCTTAAATCTATAAGGATTATAGCAGCACTCTAGATGTTGGGCTGCAACTTCCACCAGCTTAGCCAACACAACCAGTAGTGGGGGATGATGAGAACTGTACTTTACTTTACTTTAATTAGATTTATACCCCGCCCCTCTAGACCAGGTCTACTCGGGGCGGCTTACATATATAAAACATAACAAACAACATCTTAAAGCATTAAAATATCAAAATTTTAACAATTATATAAAAAAGCCTTGCCAAGATGGAGATTAAAGAACTGTAGTTGAAATATGTGTGCAGATCAACATGTGTTCCCTTCCCCATTATACGAAGAGTATTTCAGAACTATGGAGTTTGATTCTGAAGAAGGTAAACTGGATGGGAAAAGGTTCTGAGAATGCAAAATGTAGTTGGATGTTGGCAAAAAATGATATCAAGGGAAGCCAGGAAATTTTGAGAAGCTCTAACGGGTTCATGCAACAGAGCTAAGGTTGTAGGACTTGTAAAAGCAGTCAGGAGTTTTGGACTGCAACTCCCAGAAGCCTTTACCACCAACTGTGCTGGCTGGGGTTTCTGGGAGTTGCAGTTCAAAAACATCCGAGTAACAAAGGTTAAGAACCACTGGGTTGGAGGACTTGTAAAAGCTGTTTTTTTGTTGTTTTTGTTTTGCTTTTGTTGTCATGGTATTGCCAACAGCTAAGAATGTACTTGAATAAAATGACTACAGCGTATGTACAGTGGTGCCTCGCATTACGACATTAATTTGTTCCAGCGAAATCGCTGTAGAACGAAAACGTTGTAAAGCAATTTTAAAAAGCCCATGGAAACACATTAAGACTGGTTAATGCGTTCCTATGGGCTAGAAACTCACCATCCAGCGAAGATCCTCCATAGTGCGGCCATTTTTGCTGCCTGTGCAGTGAGGAATCCGTCCCAGAAAACAGCGGGCGGCCATTTTGTTTACCCAGTGGCCATTTTGAAACCGCCGATCAGCTGTTAAAAAATTATCGCTTTGCGAGAATCGGTTCCCGAAGCAGGGAACCGATCATCTCAAAGCGAAATTCCCCCATAGGGGGATATTGACATCAAGCGGTTTCGTCGTTAAATGGAGCACCCGTCTTGCGGGGCACCACTGTACTATGTTACAGTCTATAATGCACAGGGGCAGCCCACCACTGAAGCAAGGATTAAAAAACCTTTTCTGACAGTGAGTGAGCAGCTACTGTGAAAAGAATGATAGTGTAATCAAGTTTCAGCATTGTGTTGAAGTGCTTAGCAATAATAAGTGACTCCTAGTCACTACAATGAAAAGACTGAATTGAGGCCACAGCTCTGAGAAAGTAATAGGGATGCAAACTGTTTTTATGTACGCTTCTTGAAATTGAGTACAGTAGAAGAATTTAGAACATAAGTTATCAGGCTAAGACTGTACCCTATACTTGAGAAGCATCATCTACCATTATGTATGAGATGAAAATTCCTTGAAGTGATTGGGTTAACTTGTTTTTGATTACATAAAACAATGCTGTCTGAATTTCCCAAAGATCAGTGAAGATTTTATGCTCTCAACTGATTAGGAGAAAGGTGTATTGAGAATGAGGAACGTCTCCAATTTCTGCTTTTTCCCAAAAGATCATGCAGATACTTTGGCATTATTCTTATGCCCAGATTGGACAGATGGGAGGTTGAGATATAATGGGTTGACTGATTTTGGGAGGAATGAATAATTGGCATATGTGGTGTATTTGCATACAAGGTGACGCCATTTGTAACTTGTGTACTTTCCCAGTGGCCCTTCCATACCAGTTGAGAAACTTGCCATCCCAAACTGGTAGCACTGCTTGCACCTCCTTTATTAAGTGATTTATTTGTTTATTTATTATATTTGTTCCCTACCTTTCTGCTGCAAAGAAGAACATAAGGTGACTTACAACCTTCATAAAAGAATAGAAACATCTTATTAGGCATCCTTCAGTCTCGAGACTGTGGTAACGTGCTCTGAATAGAGGTCTTGGAACAACGTCTAGTGTGGCTGCGAAGGCCAATTTGAGAGTGACAATCCCTTCCACACTGAAGACAAATGCAATCTGTCCCCTGTCCAGCTCCCTGATTATGCTGGTTTCGGGACTGCCAAGACTTTGGATTAACAACCAGCCTGAAGAAAACACAATTCATGGGCCAGGGTGTGGACTCAACTCCCTCTGTTACCATCTCGACATAAGAATTGGAAGTTGTTCATGACTTTGGGTACCTTGGCTCAACGATCTCTGA